AAGTTGAAGGGAGCTGTTTCTTACTCTTCCATCCCTCTGCCTTACAAGGAAAGAACATTCTTCCCTCCAATGAATGGAGCCACAAAGTGCCTTCATGGAAGCAGAAACCAGCTCTCTCTGATGCTGAACCTGATGATGCCTTGATCGTGGATATCACAATCTTAATAAGAGATCAATTTATAGCCTTCTTCAACACAAAGGGACTTAGACATCTGGGGATGAAGGACAGCCAAGTAGGGAGTCAACCATATATAAGTGACCAGATTCCAATAAAAATCGCTGGACACAATGATCTAGAAGCATTTCTGTCTGGCAAGACTCCATGCATATTATCATACATCATCTCTGGGAAAAGTTAGGATTGTCCTTGACTCTAATGAGAGAGGCTAATCAGAAGCTCTGTTCATGGGATTCTCCACCCTCTACTTTCTCTGTCTCTTCCTATGGCTGGTTTAATATCTACCCTTCATCTGCAATAATCTGTAACTATGCAACAGTCATTTTCAGTGACTTCTGTGAGGCCTTCCAGTGAATAATCAAACATGAGGTGCCCTTAGGGATTTGCAAACTCAACAAAGTGTTGTCACCTTGTTGAACATTTTATCCTTTGAAAATTACCCTGTGTTGCATGAATTCCTAAATGGTCTTGTAATAATAATAATAAAAAAACCAGAAGCCTGATATTGGGGTAAATGCTGAAAGATTAGAGAGACAAAGGAACAAGCCACAGCCACCTTATACTTCTAGGACTCCTCAGCCTGAAAATCTTCAGCTCCTGTCTCCTCATGCCTTATATACCTTTCTCCACCCAGCCATATCATTTTCTTCTTAGTGTTAGGATTAAAGGTGTGTGTGCCTCCCAAGTACTGGGATTAAATTGTGTGACACCTTTGCCTGGCTCTATTTCTTACCTAAACTGAGTCAATCTCATGTAATCCAGGGTGGCTTTGAACTCACAGAGATCCAGACAGATCTCTGCCTCCTGAGAGTTAGGATTAAAGGTGTGTGCCACCACTCCCTGGCATCTACGTTTAATCTAATGGCTTGTTCTGTTCTCTGATCTTCAAGCAAATTTTATTTGATACACAGTATATCACCACGATCCAAGGAATAATTTCAAACATTAGCTAAACAACTTGGTTTTGTGTATTCAAAAAGCTATCAAAGCGCATTTCTGGAATTAACTTCCAGTTTATATCATTGAGGAACTAGTCAACATTTCAGCAGCCTTTGGGGAAAGGTTGAGAGTCCATTCTGCCTACTCCTATCAACTTCCTTGTAAGTCCTTTTCTCTACATCACATGATTCTGTATGGAAGTCATCACTGTGTTGTGATGCTGCCGTGTGTGTGTGTGTGTGTGTGTGTGTGTGTGTGTGTGTGTGTGTGTTTTATGACTATTGGAGCTGTGCTGATGCTGGCTTGAAAGCAACTTAATGTTAACTGCCTTCTCTAACTTAGAATTGGCCGTGGATGTCATTCACAGTGGGACCTCTTACATCAAACTGTAAATGCTGCATTTCAGGGCTTCCAATTTCTTATCCCAGAGCCAACCACCAAACATTCAGCCACTCTGTACTCATACTTAATAATAATTCTATTTCCATATCTGTTTGCTGAGTTTGGTCTCAAGTGTGAGCATTAAGCTCAAATGTCCACCTAGTCTAGGATCCATTTTGGCACCTCCTTGGATCTCTGTATTTTTATCATCCCCATTACATGCCTCAGCTCACACTTTGTGAAAGAATGTATAGTCCTTGTCTTTCAGTAGAATCAAGAGAACTCACTGGGTGAGAGTCCCTTTCTAATGGCTGAGAAACCACTTGAAAATGTTTCTCTTGTTGCACAGGAAGTCTGTTTATAAATGCATACTTCCAATACATCTGTGAGTACTTCCTAACTACTCAAGTATTTAAAACACCTTCTCAAAACCAGGATAAGTATTTGGTTGCATGAATCCTAAATGGTCTTGTAATAAAAACCCAGAGCCAGATATCAGAGTAAAAGCTGAAAGATCAGAGAAGCAGAGCAAGCCACAGCCACCACTTCTTACCTCACTAACTCCTCAGCCTGACAGACCTGACAGAGCCTCTGCAAGAGAAAGAATTCCTGTCTCTTTCCCCCTTATATTCCTTTCTCTGCCCAGTCATATCACTTCCTGTTTCAACCTTCCTTGTGCTGTGATTAAAGGTGTGTGATCCCAAGTGCTGGAATTAAAGGTGTGTGCCACCACTGCCTGGCTCTGTTTATCTTTTAGACTGTATAAATCTCATGTAGCCCAATGTAGCCTTGAATTCAGAGAAATCCAGATGGATCTCTCCCTCTGCCTCCTGAGTGCTAGGATTAAAGGTGTGTGCCACCACTGCCTGACCTCTGTGGCTAACTCTGTGACTGCTCTGTCCTCTGATCTTCAGGCAAGCTTTATTTATTAGATTATAAATATATCAACACATTTCCCCCCTTTTGCCTAAAATAATAAAAGGAAATTGTAACTAATATAAGAAAAACTATATACAATAAGTACAATAACTATATACAATATACAGTCAAGAATTACATTAATAATGTACAGCCCATTAGCAATTGACAAATTCAGAGAAAATACTCCATTATTTATCATATTTTAGTGAATCCAAAGTGTTGTACCTAATTCACTTTCTATCCTAACTTGTATTACCAACACAAAACTATCTTTTGATGTCTTTCAAACTTAAACACTTTATACCTCTTTAGTGAGTTTCTTTTCTGAATTTGTTACCAAGGAACACTAAATATAACTATCTAGTCTTCAACTCATTCAGACACCTGAGAAGGAAATAATATTACCTAAGTAAACAGGAAGTGCAGGCAAGCAACTTCCAAAAATGTGAGAAATGACAGAAACATCTGGCTGCCTGGACAGTCACCCAAGGTTCTTTTGCAATGTTGGGGCATCAATATTTGGTCTACAGGCCTTGCATATCTAATAGACTTTTCTGTGAAGCAGGATTTTCTAAAGGGCCTCCCTACCTTGTCTTGGCAAGGTTCAGCAGTCCTTTCCTTTGTGTCCTGCTTGCCCATTTCGACAGCATACTGTCAGCAGTTGAGGCAAGGGCACTTTCTTGCTCAGTGGCTAACTTTTGCCACAAAGAAAGTAAGCTCAATATGGGGTTTTCTTCAATGCCTATCATCTTCTCTGGAGTAGATTGGTGCTGCCAGGAGCAGACATATCTCATTGTTATATATATAAAAGAATCTATGTTATTAAAACATCTTAAATGTCATATTCTGTAGATTTCTGTAAATGATTGAAGATGACCTGTCTATCTAAAATATATTTGTTTGACCTTGAAAACATACCTAACAGTATTTCATTTCTCTAGAAATACATTTGAAAAGACACAATGTACAGCTTATGAGTCAAAATGCCCTGAACTCGGGCATCTGTTTCAGACTTGGGTATGAAATCCAGTCCTCTGCCTGAGACCCATATGCCTGCTTTGGGAGGTGGATGGAGAGCTGGTGAATGAATATGCCAAAGTGGTTTTGTTCTTTGCTTGTTTTAATTTCTAATCCTAGTGGGATGGTGCTTTTTCAAAATATAGTAATTACTAGGAAAATAAAATAAATTCAAATTTATAAAAATAAAGGAAAAAATAATTTCCAGTATAAAAACCTTAACTTTTAGACCCAGAAAGACAAGCAAGGTATGTACTCACTCATAAGTGGATATTAGATGAAAAGCAAAGGATAACCAGGCTACAAGCCAAAACCAACCCCAAAGAGGCTAGGTATCAAGGAGGACCCTAAGAGAGACATGTGTGGATCCCTCAAGAAGGGGAAATAGATACGATCTCCTGAGTAAATTGGGAGCATGGAGGCGGGAGGAGGTAAAGAAAGGTGGCAAGAGAACATGAGGGACCGAGATGGTCAAGTTGGGGGAGGGACAGAGAGGGAGAGCAATGGAAAAGATGTCTTGATTAGAGGGGGCCATTATAGAGTTAGGGAGAAACCTGGTGCCAGGAAAACTCCCAGGAATCCACAAGGATGACCCTAGCTAAGACTCCAAGCAATAGTGGAAAGGGGCCCTGAACTGACCTTCCCCTGTGATCAGATCAATGACTACCCTAATTGTCATCATAGAACCTTCATCCAGTAACTGATGGAAGCAGATGCAGAGATCCACAGCTAAGCATGTGCTGAGCTCCCAGAGTCCAGTTGAAGAGAGAGAGGAGGGATTACATGAGCAAAAGGATCAAGATCATGATGGGGAAACCCACAGAGACAGCTGACCTGAGCTAGTTGGAGCTCACTGACTCTGGACTGACAGCTGGGTATCCTGCATGGGACCGAACTAGGCCCTTTGAAAGTGGGTGACAGTTGTGTGGCTTGGGCAGTTTGTGGGGCCACTGGCGGTGGAACCAAGATTTATCCCAATGCATGAACTGGCTTTTTGGAGCCCATTCCCTGTGGAGGGACACTGGGGAGAGGGGCTTGGTCCTGCCTTAATTTGATACACCAGACTTTGTTGACTTCACATGGGAGGCCTTACCTTCTCTGAGGAATGGATGGGGGGTGTGGTGGGGGGAAAGTGGGGGGTGAGCAGAAGGAGGGGAGGGATAGGAAACTGTGGTTGGTATGTAAAATGGAAAAAACAAAGCAAAACAAAAAACCTTCATTTTTATCTTAGATTTAAAGAAAATGAATGGAGCTGGAGAGATGGTTCAATGATTAAGAGCACTTGCTGTTCTTGCAGAGGACCCAGGTTCAGTTCCCAGCACCTACATGGCAGCCCACAATTGTCTATAACTCTAGTTCCAGGTGTTTTGACACCCTCTTCTGGGCTCTGTGGAAACTACATGCACATGGCACACATGCATACGTACAGGCAAACACTCATACACATCAAAAAGAAGGAAAGGAAAAGAAAATGGAGTTTTGTTAAAATGCAATATGTTTTTATATTTTGCAGATTTTACTTCTGTGCACAGTTTACTCAGTTTCCCAGTTTATACAGTCTTACCTTCAGCACTCTAATTTCTTCTTCAGATTTCTTTATTGTAGATCTTACATAGCACAGATCCAGGCCACCTCTGCACAGTGACACAAATATAGTCTCATCCATGTGAGGCTTCCTGGATAGTTTGGAGTGCTCCTTTCATGAAGTTTGCATATTTATATTGCATATCATTAGAGGCCAGGTCTAGTGAAAGAAAAGCAATCAAAAATTTTGAAATCCAGTTTCAACTCACAGAATGATGTATTATTAACAAGCAATTGAATTTGGTGTTCAAATTAAGTGCATTTATCTCTAAACCCAGTGCATAACTATTGAGCAGCTCAATGTCTACCATACAGTAAATGAACTCTGTTGGAATGAATTTAGAAGAACATTGCCCTTATGAAGCAATTAATTAGTTTACCAATTAGTTGATCCAAATCAATTACAATTATAACCAAGAAAATACATCCAGATTCATTCATGACATATTTATTTCCTTGAAATATTGGGCTTACATGTACCTCCTTACAACTTCCTAAGAACTCAGTACTAAAAGTGTCCCTCGAAACAAGGATAAGTATTCATTTCTCTAAAAATACATTTGGAAAGATACAACTTTAGAATTTCATTCATGAGTAAAAATATCTTGAACTTCAGGCATCTGTTTAAAAATCTAGTCCTCTACCTGGGTACCACATGCTTGCTTTTGGGATGGAAGGGGGCGTTGATGAATGAATATTCAAAAGTGGTTTGTAGAAATCACCCAGGAGCTACTTCTAAGTTAGTGCTTGACTTGTTTCTCTCTCCTCTTTGAACTTGGGATTTCATATTTGACTTTAGGCCTTCTCACTTCCAAATCAACCATCACCACACTCACATCTCCTTGAAGACCCTGGTTCTAACACAGGATTATTCTTCCTCTTATTACTTCACACTAGATGTTGAGGGATAAGAAGTTTGTGTCCTTGGCCTTATTCTTTGACAAAATTATGGGGCTCAAACTCAAAATATTCTTAGTGTTTCCTCAACAAGTTATTTCAATATTATCAAGAAAGCAATGATTTAAACAAAAACAGTCTTGGTGTTGGTATGAATCTATTTCAATGATGTGTTTTCTAAGTCAATAAAAGACTCTACTGAGAAGTAACAAAAACAGCTTTTCTCCCATCAGGCTTCATGTTCTGTAAGGATGATGTTGCCTGGGACGTGTTTTCACTAAAAGGACTGCACTAATTACTCTCTGTCTCACCCCACAAACAATAATGCATAAAACGATGCATAAGTGCCATCAGAGGTACTCCTTTTCTTCCTCTACCCTCTTGCATGCACACAATTTTTCTCTTCATTACAGACAGATTTTGGGTTTCAAAGCTCCAAAGTTTAGTGTCTAATAATTAAATTATCATATCATATTCACTTTTCTCTTTGTGTCTAGTGCATCAAAATTTCTCCTTTATATGAATAAGCTAGAATACTACAGATTTTTTTTTCTGAAAATACCAGCAACTTGCACATTTGCCCTGTACATTAAATAAAACTGGACAAAGAAGTTTGGAAGGAAACCTGCAAAAAAAAAAGTATCAATTGGTAACAAAGAACTACCTCTTAAAAAATGTGTGTGTGTGTGTGTGTGTGTGTGTGTGAGAGAGAGAGAGAGAGAGAGAGAGAGAGAGAGAGAGAGAGAGAGAGAGAGAGAGAAAGAGAGAGAGAGAGAGATGGGGACATGCATGTTCAATGGTGTGATAGTCGAGGTCACAGGACAACTCTTTTGGGGTTTTCTCCTTCCACCTTGTTGAGGCAGGGTCTCTCTTGTTTTTGCCATGCTGCATGCTCCAGAATAACTGGCTAACCCGATTCCTCGGTATTCTCTTGTTTTCATGTACCACCTCAGCATAAGAGTTATGGGATTACAGATACTCACCATCTTATGGGCATTTTATGTCATGGGGATCAAACTCAGCTGAGTCATCTCCCTAACTCCCAAAGTCTCCCTAACTACCTTTTTTGGACTATTCTTTTAACCTGACTACTTCTTTCTTTCTTTCTTTCTTCCTTCCTTCCTTTCTTTCTTTCTTTCTTTCTTTCTTTCTTTCTTTCTTTCTTTCTTTCTTTTTTTCTTTTTTTTGCTTTTTGTTTTGTTTTGTTTTGTTTTCGAGACAAGGTTTCTCTGTGTAGCTTTGTGCCTTTCCTGGATCTTGCTCTGTAGACCAGGCTGGCCTCGAACTCATAGAGATCCACCTGGCTCTGCCTCCCGAGTGCTGGGATTAAAGGTGTGCACCACCACCACCCGTTAACTATTTCATTTTTAAAAGCAACAAACCAACAAGACATTACTTTTGCTGCACTAACAAACCTCTAGCCTTCACCTCCTGAGAGCTACAGTTACAAGCATGCTACCCCATGCCTAGATTCTAATATTTTATTATGAAAGCATCTTCTTGTATTTCATAAGAATGAGATTTTATTTTAGTCTTGAAGCACTGTAGTGGACAGAATAGTACCCAAATATGTCTGCATCCTAATCCCAAGAACCTATGATTATATAGTAAGGGCAAGCTAGATTGTAATGGTGGGGCTAGAAACACAGTTCAGTGGCACAGTACTTGTTTAGCATGTCCTAGGTCCTGGGTTTCATTTCCAGTACTGGAGAGAGGAGGAGAAGGAGGAGGAGGAGGAGGAGGAGGAGGAGGAGGAGGAGGAGGAGGAGGATAGGAAGTGAGAAGGGAGAGGATGGGAATGTTTTAGATAGAATTAAGGTTGATGGTCTGAGATTCTTAAAATAAGCCTTGATGTGTTGGGTCCTTAACTAGAATAAGGCACGGTGATCTGTGGAGGCAGAGCCAGGAGGATGCCTAGGGATTGCTGGTCTTCTAGTCTAGCCAAACCAGTGAGCTCCAGGCTCAGTGAGAGACTCGGTCTCAACACATAAAGTAGGTAACAAGTGAGGAAGACAGCATCAACCTCTAGTCTCCACAAAGTACACAAATGATCTCTCTCTCTCTCTCTCTCTCTCTCTCTCTCTCTCTCACACACACACACACACACACACACACACACACACACACACACACACACCAATATAGATATACATACACTATACATAAAGAGTAGATATCATGAACATATTAAGAAGCAGGAAGAAAATCTAATCAAGCAAACTAATTTGAATTTATTTTTATTTTCTTCCCTTTATTTAGACGGTCTCATTCAGTGTCTCAGGATGACTTCAAACTCACAATATTCTGCCTCTTGAGTGTTGGGCTAATATGGGTGTGTATGTATTACTGGCTCTAGCTCATATTAACTTTATTTGGAGCAGGTTTAGCAACTGGGTCTCATGCAGCCTAGGATGGCCTCAAACTCACCATGTAGTTGAGGCTATCCTTAAATCCTGATCTTCCTGCCTCCACCTCTCAAGTTCGGAGACAATAGGTGCGTGCTGCCATGCTGTGCTGCTCCTAATTTAGATTTCTTCGTGGACAATATTTAACAGACAGAAAACAAAACTGGAAGGTGAACTCAATGTTGTCACCAACACTGCACATTTCTTTGTTATGTCATTCAGTCTCATGAAATTACAGAACCAAAGGAAACCAGTGAGCACAGGGTGTGTGTCATAAACATGTAAATATGAGGACACAGTTTTGGTAAGGAAGGTTTAAAAGGAAAGAAAGTGCATTTCAGGTAAGAAACAATTTTATATAATAAAATAAGTTTTGGCCTGAGATGAAATTGCTGGATTTTTCAAGATGAAAAAGAGGAGTGCAAAACCAGAAAGCTTAAGCACATTTCAAAAGGTCACAAAAGGTTTGCAAAAGATAAAACTCAAAGATGTTCCATGTGTTGGGAGTAAACATTATTAAAATTCTTCAGGTCAAAATCCAGGTCACTGACATAAAACTAAAATCTGCCTTTTGTGAAAAACAATAAAGTTTGCTGAAGGTATTTATCTGCTCATGGTAGTATTTGCAAGAACAGACCCAAAGAACAAAGATTTCAGATATTTTTTTTCAAGGTAAGTATATATGTTTTCTTCTAGATTTGTTAAAATTTTATCTACTTAAAAGTCTTAGCCAGGCATCAGTGGCACATGCCTTTAATCCCAGGCCTCAGGAGGCAGAGGCATGTCTCCAAGTTTGAAGCCAGCCTGGTCTAGAAGGAGTTTCAGGGCAGTTAAGACTACACAGAGAAATTCCGTCTCAAAAAAAACAAAACAAAACAAAACAAAACAAAACAAGAAACTGAGTCTTACTAAAATTGGGATTTATTCAAAATTCGGTTGGCTTTTATTTAAACTCTACTTAAATGTTACCCCCAAAAGTTAAACTAAAAATCCATTACTCCTTTTGTAAACTGATAAAACCTCTGTGTGTTCACCAACAAAAGCTTACAAGACAAATCCAAAAGAGATGAGCAAGCAAAAGGATAGTCAATATTTTGGCTTTCCTCTCCAAGTTCAGGCCAGACCCAAGGTGTAATGAGAACCCTCTACAATGGCCCTACATCTCCAGTAAGCCACCCATCCTCTTGCAGAGAGACTATGGATACCCCAGATGATGATCTCTAACCACCAAATGCCCCACAAAGAGTGCGTCTCAAGCCAAAGTGTCTGCAGTGGGTTACTTCTGGGGCTATGCCAGAATCCTTGTGTCTCCTAGCTTCTGGTGGCTTGCTGAAAATTCTTGACATTCCCTGGCTTAAAGAAGCATCACTCTAATTTTTGTCTTTATTTTCACATTGTTTTCTTGTGAGTGTCTGCGTGTGTGTGTGTGTGTGTGTGTGTGTGTGTGTGTGTGTGTGTGTGCCTGTGTGTGTGTGTGTGTGTGTGTATAACACACAGACACACCATAAAGGAGTAGAGTCTACTCCTAATGCCTTCTTTTGGGGACTGACTACCTGTCAAAAGCCTTTTCTCCCAGTGATATATTTATGACCAGGATTCCCATACCTTCTGGTGGCATCACAAACAAACCTCTAGAACCTCCAAAACTCACTTGATGATTCCCCTAGGTTACAACCTATATTGCTAAAAATAACTTCCTTGCTAACCTTGCTAAAATGATTTTCACTGTGATGTGGAACCTGCATTTTATAATATAGAAAATTGTAGTTCATGGTTTTCATTTCTACACTGCAATTGTTTTATTAATAATAGTCTAGCTTACACTCAAGTCTTAATATTAGGTCAAATGCTACTCAGGGTAAGTATTTATTTATAAATTCTGACTGTGTGTGTATCTAGGTTATCCTCAATGAGGTTGTGTCCTGTGGGAACATACTAGTAAGTGGTAATTACTGGATTTATATAGTATCTATTCCTTAGAGAGGGGGAAACACTATAATACCCCAGAGCCTCTGATTCCTGAGCATTCACAACAGGGTTAATAATACCAAGCTGTCTCCCTCAAGATCATAGAGTCAATGTGAAGCCTCATTAAGATGCATCACTCCAATCCTCCTTAGAAGAAAGGAATACAGTGTGTTTGTAGGCACCTGCAGCTTCCTATTCTCACCTGTGTCGAGGTTCATTTGGGTTCATCAACAAGAAGGGACTTTAGCTGCAGTCTGGGCTGCACTATGGGAATTCTGGGCAGGTGGCCTGTGGCTTTTGAACACAGTGTATCACCTTCCATGTTTAAGCTGGAGCCTCTACATGTTTAAACAGGTTCTACCTATCTATTAGCATTCAGTCTTTACAAGAGTAGCTTAAGGAAAGCTTTGCATGTATGGGCCAATGGGCAAGAAGGAGTGAAAGCAAGAAGCAAGGCTTAAGAACCTGAGGTCTGAAGTGTCCTGACATTTTCCTAGTCCCATCCAAACACTTCCTAGGTGTAAGGAATCCCTAATGTCCCTTCCAATTCACAAGAGTGGACCTAGCCCACTGATTTCTTTAGGTCTCCTGGTTCTGAGAAGAGCCTGTGGGGACTTTGCAAACCCTAAGACACACCACTGTCTTCTTTCTAAACTCAAAATGAGCCGACGAACGAGAAGAGAAGACACCACGTGCCCCTGCTGGAGCTCTGAGCTGTCCAGGGTGTGCCACGGGATATCTGTGAGGAGACATATCTCCTAATGGTAACATCATAGTGTTAGGGACCTGGCTACCATCCAGTGTAGTATCTTTGAAGCCACCACCCCAAGAGGTTCAGACACCGGATGGGTACCCCTCTAGACTTTTTTCACCTGTCACCCTAGTACTAACGGTGGGCGAAGCAGGATCACAGTTTCATTTGAGAGGGCCAGGATCACAGTTTCATTTCAGGGTTCACACCACCTCGCTCCAGACAGTCAGGCACCATGCTCCGCCCCCTCATGTGCTAATGGGCAGCGTTTTGTCCGTACTGCTCACCAGCATGTGCCCCACCCCTTATCTGCACCTACTTGGTTCAAAAACTGCAAAAGCTAGGTCCTTCATTTGCATCTGACCCGCCCTTTATCCCCCTAGGACCGTTTCCTCATTAGCAAAGCTCCATCCCCTCATCTGCACAAGTACCACCACTACCACTCCCCCCTCCCCAACACCTCCTTAGCCAGGTGCTCACTTGACCAAATACCCCCTCGCCAGCACATGCACCTCCCCTCTTGCCTACGCTACGTTCCATACCCACATCACGCCCTTCATTAGCAAATGTCCCGCTTCTTATTGCTCCAGGCTCGTCCCTTGCAGCAAAGCCCCTATCACTTGCCACACTACCTCTGTCCCCTGCTCTGCTTCCTTCTCGCCCTCCTCCTACCGGTCCTTCTCTGAGGCCTGCCCATCACTTATCACCCACCCATCACCCGCCCCGCACCTGACTCCGCCCCATGGAACCGCCTTCCTCCCCTCCAGCCTATTGCAGAGGACGTCTCCACTCCGCCTGTCCAATGAGAGTGTCGAGGTCGCTCCCCGCCCCGCGCCGTGCGTCAGGTTAAAGGCAGTCCCCACACTGACCCCATGTTGGTCACTTGCCATGTGGCGCTTCAGCGGTCGTCCGGGACTGTGCGCTGTACAGCGACTGAGCTGCGGGTGAGACACCGCGGGTGGCAACAGCGGACGGGCAGGGGCGGGACCGGTACGAGAGACTTCCGGGTCTCTGCCATCCCTGGGCACGGGTGACAGCCCTCTCTGGGGCTCTGGCTTCCCAAAATTTCTTGCGGGTGCCTCACGTACCCCCAAACCCTCTCCTGGGCTCCATCGGAGCCTGTAAAGCAGTTCTTTTATTTTCTGCGCGTGGCACAGCACGCTCTCCCCAAGAAGCTGATGCCCCAGCTGCCAGAGTTGGGGTGACACCGGTGCTCCAAAGGGGTGCCAGGTCCAGGGCACTGTCCTGACCCACTTTCCCTTCTTGGACTTTTTGTGGTCCCAGAGCGAGTGGGTGGTCCTGAGTGTGGGTTACCAAGGCTGTTTGAAGTAAAGATGGACTTTGATGTGGATTTTAACTGTGTAATAAAAGAGGCAGTTTATGGCTCTCATTAATAGATTTGTGCCCATCTCATTTTTGTTACGAGGCAGAGTCCTTTAGGCCTCCAAGACAAGCTACTGTTTTTGTAAAGTTGTGCCTCCTGGAGTCGAACATTTTGTAGCGACTCGATTTATGGAAAAGTAAAGATGCTTTTAAAAAGTGTTTGACTTTCATGCTAATCCAAACCCTTATTTTATAGTGGGGCCAAACTCCTCTTAGTCTAGGTGAGGAAACATGGGGGTGTGGGTTTCTGTGGGGGTGTGGGCTTTAAGAGTGTTTGAACTTGATAGCAGCGATTTTATTAGTGTATGCAGCTACCAGAATAGAAATGAGTAAACCGTCCTAGCCTTTTATCCGTCAGTGTTGTCATGCAGATCCTGTCCTGATGATCAACAGTTGCTTAAAATTTCTACCCATAATCTAGAACTTTCTGTCGGAGAGGAAAACCAGTTGAATTTAACATCTCTTCCTCATACTGCCAATGACTGAATTGGTGGGGCTTGGGGTTTGTTTGTGTTGTTGTTTTCTTTTCCTTCTGTCCATATAACGTTTATAAGGGATACTTCTGAGACCTTAATACAGAAAACTTCATAAACATACAGTTTGAGAAAATAACTGCTCTAAATGATGTCATCATTACTTGGCAAGATTGCCCTGACAAGATTGTAACTCTATCTGTTTTGGGTAGTTATGCCCCCCCAGACTTAAGAGTTTATTTGCTTTTTTTCTTTTTATTATCTTTGTACATTCCTCTAATAAGTTTACCTGCTCACATGATACCAGTGTACTGTCTTTTTTAAAGTTTTTGTGCTTTTGTTTCTATTCAAGGTCAAAACAGAAAGAGCATAACTAGAAACTAGTCTTTTGAAATGTCCAAGATCTTGGAAGATGCAGGATGCAAGTTCTCTTTAATTAGTTTACTTTATACTATGGGGTTATTTACATATGTCACTAAGGTATTTAACCAAACAACTTTCCAGGAAATTCACTAAATTTGAGAACTTTCTTTAAACTCAGCAGGGTACATCACAAAGTATGGAGGGAGAAGAGTGATCAAGCCTGCCAGCGAGCTCTTCAGTATAAAGTGGGCGAAAAGATCCATGGATTCACCGTAAACCAGGTACTCACCCATCTGTCTTGCCATGTTCTTTATGAATCAAGGTTGGTACACATTCAGCTTCTGCTGGCAGTTGAGATCTCTTGAGAGTAGAGACTGCAGTTTTTAATCCTTACCTTTCCAGGATCTGGCAAGCTTCCTGACTCACAGCAGGTGCTCCAGATGGCTTACACATGAAATGATGGCCAGGCCTTAATTGTACCCTTCAAAGCCTCAATCATTAGAAAATGACCCCCCACACACACCAAAGTAGGGCTTTTGTAGTCAAACCCACTGAAATTTCTGTACCCAAGCCTGATCGTTCACTGTGATCAGTACAGATGATGTTTGCTGTTCCCTATGTCCCCTCATTCACATTCTGTCATCAAGTATAGTTGCCTCTAAACTTGCATACAACCCTTTTTAGCTAGTTTGTCTTGGAATTACAAAGAAGATATAGTACACCAGTATTTACTTGATTTACATTAAAAATGGGTTTTGTTGGTTCCTTTTCTTGTCTTTATTTTGTAGGTTTAGGTTAAAGCCTTCATATTACTTTTTTATTTAAATGTAATTATTGAGACATTTGAGCTGGGGATGTAGCTCAGTTGATAGAATGCCTGTCTAGGATTCAGGAAGCCCTAAGTTTCATCCCTAGCACCATATGAAACCTTGTTTGGTGGTATATGCCTATAAATGAAAGGTGGAGACAGGAGGATCAGGAGTTCAGGGTCATTTTTGGATATTTAGCAAGTTCATGGACAGCCTGGAATACTCTGTCTCAGATATAGATATAGATATAGATATCTTAAATACACAGATACATATATGAAAGGAAATCTCACAGGTCAAGTTTTTGGTCACAGACTTTGTACTGTCCTTGTGTTTAACAAATATAATAAGGCAGAACCTGTAAACTAGAAAGCCTCATGCGGCTGCAGCAAAGGGCAGAATTTGATAAGTGGTAGAAATAAGCAAGGCCAGTGAAACTGGAGCATTAGTTCCAGGATAGGTCTTGGAGTGATGAGTCACAAAAATGGGGTGAGAGCATTGTGAGCTCCCTGAAAGGCCATGCAGAGGAATTTACAAGTTGCTGGCAATGAAGACCTTGTTCAGAATGGTGCGTTCAAAGAGAAGTGTGGAGGTAATGGTAATTCCTGCTTGAAAACAACTTCCCTGAAAGCTGTTGTTAAGCAGGCACAACATTATCTCCTGGTTTTAAGTACATTGATCATCTATCTGAGTGAATTCAGGAACACAAAACCAGCTACAATTGCACAAGTATCAAGAGCCTGCTTTATCCATGTCATTTGTATACCTGGGCCCCTAAGTTAGACTCAGGAGACTTGGTTCTAACTGTGGTTTTGATGGGAACTTCCTGTAGAGAAGTGAACAGGTTATCGTCTGAGAAAAGAGAATGATAATGGCATAGTTACCATAGTATGTATGGCTTGTGATTGAAAGGAAGAAAACCAGCTGATATGAATGTGTGACAGGACACAGTGTGTGTGTGTGGCATGTGTGTATGCATGCATGTGACACACACACACACACACACACACACACACACACACACACACACACACACAATGTGTCCCTATGGGTGCCAGAGGTCTTCCTCAGGGGTATCTTCCTCAATCATACTTTTACTTTTTTTAGGCAGGTTTTCATGTCATCCTGGCTGGCCTCAAATGTGCAGTGTAGCCAAGGACAGCCTTCAGCTTCTCTTACCCTCCTGCCTCTATCTCCCAGGAGCTGGGATTGCATGTGTATGCTCCCATGCTCTGTTTCCTAGGGTGCTGGGAATGGAACTCAGGCCTTCATCCATGGCAGATCCCCTGCCAGCTGCATTACATCACAGCCTTGAGACAGGCTCTGTCACTGAATGTGGAGTTTGCTGATTGTGTTAGACTGACTGGCGGGCTAGTGAACTTTGGGAATCTTCCTGTCTCTGCCTCCTTGGTACTGGGATTACAGACATATTCTTTTGTGCATCTGGCTTTTTGTGGATGCTGGGGATCAAACTTAGGTCCACATGTTCTCTCAGCAAGCACTTTATTGACTTACCTGTCTCTCCAGCCCCCAGAATCCTGCAGTTTATATCAAGGACTCTAGAGACTCACTTGAGGAAGAGGTCATTCCTCCATCTCTCTGCTGCTGCTCCCTTCCTGAGGAGTGGGGAGTCATTCATTTGTATGGCAGGCATTCATGACATAGTTCAGTAGAAAGGACATGGACAGAAGGTGGACCTTGGCTCAGTGGTCATTAACTGAGCCTCAGCTGTGTTTCTCTGTAAATGAGTAAATGAGGGGATGGATGGCAATGTGTACTTCCTATGTAACATGCTTGGAAAATGATTGATAAAGAATAAGTAATTAGGACCAGAAGCAACATGCCTTCTCATTGGCCTCTAATCGAGTCTTAATTTCCTTGGTTGTGAGATCAGGGATTTTAATAAGATGGTCTGTCTACACCAGGTCTAAAATGCTAGCTTCCTAGCCTAAGTCTTGGCCAGGGGAAATAACTTAGTTGGTGGAATACTTACAAGAGGACCTAAATTGAATCCCTAGAATCCATGTTAAAACAGAAAACCAGGGATGGTGCCATGCACCTGTAGTCCCCTAACAGAAGAGGTAGAGACAGCTGGATGCCTGATGTTCACTGGCCACTAAGTCTAGCTTACTCAGCAAGTTCCAGGCCAGTGAGAATTTGTATCAAAAACCAAGATGGACTGCTCCTAAGGAATGCCACCAGAGGTTGTCCTCTGACCTCCACACACTCGTGCGTGCACACACACACACACACACACACACACACACACACACGAGAAAAGACGCTGGCTCTCCTGGTGTGTTGACGGCAGCCATGCCTCGTGAGTGTGCTCACACTGTCCTTCTCTCCCCAGGTCACTCCTGTCCCTGAACTGTTCCTGACAGCAGTAAAGCTCAGCCATGACAACACGGGAGCCAGATACCTGCACCTGGCGAGGGAAGACAAAAATAACTTATTCAGGTGTGGGGTCCTTTTGAGACCATGTCCGTGAATGTCTCTGTCCAACACATCTACCATACATCCTGAAATGAGAGGAGAAAGTGTGCCTTCCTGGGCATGGTGGCTCACCAGTAAACTTAGTACTAGGGAGGCAGAAGCAGGAGGATTGCTGTAAGGTCTAGGTGGGG